GGAAGAAACTGGTACTCTTGTATCTATTTTTAAGCTTTAAAGCTTCAATCAGTGGTCGATTTGTTATTTGTATTACAAATAGTGTCTACGGTGTGCTAGATGTTGTCCACATGTAGACAGGAGGGCCCAATTCCTGTCCTGGAGAGCTTATAAGTAAGGCTACGATTATGTCACGGAGGTCGCGGAATTCACGGAATCTGTGACTTCCAGCGACCTCCATGACATTGAGGACCCCCACAGCGGACCAGCCACCCTGTAGTGTGAAAAAACGCTATCTGACTGAATTTGCTAAGTAGGGTGTACTGAGCATGCTCAGTAACATCTGCTGAAGCCAGCAGCGGGGGACCCCTGCAGCAGCCCAGCCTCCTCGGGCCATGGGGGACCTCCTGCAGCTGCCCAGCCGCTGCAGGTGGTGGGACCTCCCACAACTGACCGGCCATCGGCACCGGTGGGGATCCCTGAGCTCTCCAGCCACCACCACTGGCAGGGCCCCTCACTGCAGCTGCTCAGCCTCTGCGAGCAGCCGGTACCCCCACTACCTGCAGCTCCCAGCCACTTCCGATGGCAACAGAGGGACCCTGGAGCTGCTCAGTGGAAGCCCCCCCCAGCTCCCCAATCGGCACGGGCACCCCTGCAACTGACTGGCTGTCGCCGCCAGCAGGAACCCTGACCTGCCCAGCCGTCGGCAACAGCAGCAGAAGGACCCAGGACCCCGGGGCTGCTCAGTGGCAGGAGGGCCCCCTGCAGCCCCCCAGCCAGCTGCTGCCACTGGCAGGGTCCCCCCCCCAGCAACTGCTCAGCCTCTGTGAGCAGCCACCATCCCAGCTGCCTCCAACAGCAGCAGAGGGACCCCAGAACTGATCAGCAGCTGCTGGAAGGGCTCCCTACAGCTACCCAACTGCCGGCAGAGGTGGCGGGGGGACAGCCCCAGCTCCAGCCCCACTGGGCAATGGGGACCCTGCAGCTCCCAGCTGCTGCAGGTGGGGGGAGGGGACAGGGTGCTGGACCCTCCTCCCTCCCCATTTTGTCAGGGATGTTTTTAGTAAAAGTCAGGGACTTTTACTAAAAATATCCCTGACAAAATCGTAGCTTTACTTATCATCTAAGACAAACACCAGGCACAGGCTGGGTGAGAGGGCTAAAACATAAAATCAAAACATTAAGCTGCCCCTCTATCCACTATTACTAGTGTCTAATGGGACATCAGCTTCACAGCTGCTTGTTTAATGTTTGTTACAGTAGGGCCTCAGGGCCAACCAGGGAGTGGGCCCCATTGTGCTTGGCACTGCCCAGGCACAGAACAGCACAGTCCCTACCCTGAAGAGCAGCGATGTAAATAGACAAGACAGACGCACAGTGTAGGAAGGGGGTAGAACACACACAAGCAGTGTGACAAATAGGAGGCCAGCAAACGCCATGTTAGGTCCACAAAGCTAAATGGGAAGGGAGGGGGACATGGCAGGAGAGAAGAGGGTAAGAGGGCAGGGGTGCCGGAACGGGGGAACCAGGGGGCCATGGCCCCCTCACTTTTAGCCCTCCCACTTTTTACTAGCTGTAAGGGCGAATGTCGGGGAGGAGGGGTCCTGGGGGAAGAGGTGGGGTGGGGCCATGGTTCAGGCACCAGTGTTCCTCCCCCCCACACACACTGTTAGGAAGCTTCCGCCACCCCTGGAAGAGGGACAGATGTGGCATGAAGCTGAGGTGAACAGACGGTGAAGGAGTGGGAGGGTTGGAGCAAACAGCCACTCTAGGGTTACCATACATCCTCTTATTCCCGGACATGTCCGGCTTTTCGGCACTCAAACCCCCATCTGGGGGGAATTGCCAAAAAGCCGAACGTGTCCGGGAAAATGGCGGCTCTGCTCCTCCCCTGACTCTTCGGCTCTGTTTAAGAGCCGAGCTGCCCGAGCGCTATGGGCTTCAGGCAGCCCCCTTGCCTCCGGACCCCAGCCGCCAGGCGGGCACTTCCCCGCC